TAAGTAAAAGCCGTAATTTACCAGCATCCTGTTATTATTACACTCTAGCCCCAATGACTACACAAGATCTCCATATTCATTTCTCAGGTAAAGGACAAGAAACCTTGGGGTTTTATCCTTTAGGCCTCAACAAGTCCTAACAATTTTGTTAGTTTATTATAATAATTCTGTTGGGTTTCAAAGGAACAGAACAACTACAGAAAAATGTCCTAGTTATGTTAATTTTAATTCTAAGTGAATAAAATAGTATCCACATTAAAACATAATAAGCCCATCCTTCAGGAATTATCTTATCCTAATTGTATTACCATTTATAATGCTTATAGTTTCTCATTCCCTCACTCAGATCATAACCACACACAATACATGCAGAAATCAAATAGATGTGTTGGATCCCTAGTGCTGAGCACAGTATCCCTCACATACAGTAGGTGCTCAATATATGCTGTGGTCCCTGTAATGGATCCCAGTAAGGCTCCCAATTCCCTTGGCCTAGCACTGAAAACTCTACTATCCATTCAGAATTTCATCTGTAGACTCATTTCCCATTACTCAAATCCTGCAATCCCTGAAGTATCTCACAGGTCATTCACACCACTGAATTCACCATTCTCCATGTTCTTCCTGTACTTATGTACCTTGAAGCCTTCACTTAAGTTAGTTCTAAAAAAAAAAAAAAACTAGTGAGATTTTGGAATCAAGAACAGATCTGGATTAGAGTCCTGGCTGTACTACTTACTAGCTGTGGGACCTTGGGCACGGTACTGAACTTTACAAAGCCTCAGTTTTCTCACTGGGTAAGCAGGGATAATTATGTTTATCCCACAGCCTTTTTATTAAAGATTAAATGAAAACATGAACATAAAGCATCTTATAAATTCGAAAGTACTCTAGTTATTAATTTTAGTTACTTAGGTATAAAATATTCTTCACTAGACTAGAAGACATTTTTTTCAACTAATAGTCTCTTCTTTCCCAGCACACAGACTGCTGATTGGCACGTAAGCCTATCATACACTGTGTATGATAATAATTATAGTGCCAAGGTCACAACCTCCCAAAGCCACAGGTGAAAATATCACAACCACAACACTGCCTCAAATTAAGACCCTAAGGCAGTGGTTCTCAACCTGTGGGTCACGACCCCTTTGCAACAATGAAAACACATCCTGCATATTAGATATTTACATGACGATTCATAACAGTAGCAAAATTACAGTTATGAAGTAGCAATGAAAATAATTTTATGGTTGGGGGTCACCACAACACGAGGAACTGTATTAAAGGATCGCAGCATTAGGAGGCATTAAGAAGGTTGAGAACCACTGCCCTAAGGACTGAGGTTTTTAAAATGTATATTCATAATAAGTACAAACCAAAAAGCCATGCATACATGATTTTATATTTTTAAGTACCTAATTAAGTTTTCACAAATGTCATTTTACCCCTTGAATAAAGAAGCAAACAAGATGTGTTTTAAATCTAGCAATGATCTAACAGAGGCTAAAAATAATGGTCACTCACACAGAGTATAAGGGCCCAGTACACATACATATATATTTTTTATTTTTGTTGTTGAGGATTCATTGTGGGTACAAGAAACCAGGTTACACTGATTGCATTTGTTAGGTAAAGTCCCTCAGGGCCCAGGATATATGGGCTTGTAATGGCTCCCAGCAAGGCATTTTAAGAGTGATCTATAGTTTACAAAGAGCTTTCTCATTTAACTCTCAAAATCCAATCTTCAGAGAAAGGTTACTAATCCCACTTACAGCTGAGGAGACTCGTAAGTCAGCCAACTAGTAAGTGGCAGAATCTGGACTAAATCTGTATGTTCTTAAAGACTGGGTTGTGACTCCCCAATCTTCACTGTTTGGATTTTTTTTTTTTTTTTGAGACAGAATCTCACTCTGTTGCCCCAGGCTAGAGTGTCATGGCATCAGCCTAGCTCACAGCAACCTCAAACTCCTAGGTTCAAGCAATTCTCCTG